ATTTATTTAAGAAATAAAAATTAAATACTAATCGTTTTCAAAATTAATCATTTTGAAAATTATCATTTTCAAAAATAAATTTGCATATTCATAATAGAAATTAGGAAATAACAATTTTAACTAAATATTGTAGTTATAATTTTTGTATACTTTGATTTTTAGAAACGTAAAATCATTTTTATTTTTGCTCAAAATGGCTTTAAGAACCTTAACATTGCTTCGTTATTGGAATAAAATACAAACAAGATGCAATACAGTTCATGCAATATGTAATAAAATTGGTAATCGTGAAATTCTTGGCAATTACACTTTTGCAGAACCAACTTATATAGATCATTGGGTTATTCTTATATACTTTGTTTTTGAGTGACGTAAAATAATCATTTTTATTCTATTTATCTTTCGTATAATGATAAATTGTAAACTATTACTTAGAGGTTCCGTTTATCACTGTTGTTTTATCATATTTAAATGGAATCTACTCTAATGTTTAGTTTAAGTTAATACATAGATTTTTTCATTTAAAATCTTTATATTAATCTTTTTTAATAACTACTACTTATTCCCAATAGGTATTTCGTATAAGTAAATTAAATCATATTTATTTTGTATCTTCATCTTTTACGATTTTGCTTCATTATACTCAATATATTTGTAAATCATGATATTACATAAATATTGTGCATTAGAACATCCAGTATAACAGCTGTGATTCATATATCAGTTATCAAAATAAACAATGTCAGCAGCTTATTATATATATTTCTCTATATGTTTATATAATACTAAAGAACAATAATTTTTAAAGTTTCTGTTACATCATTTATGTTTTTTTTATGGATATGATATTTAAATTTACTTAATTTACTATTTCCTTCTGTGTATTAAATATCATCATTGCGTTTAAAGAGAAAGCTGTTCTACGGTGCTTTTTTTGTCGTAGTTTCAATCGGTTATTATATTATTTTCATTTTTTGTTTTCATAATCCTCATAAATATTGTACATATTTATATAAGTACAACGGTAGAGACGAAAGTGATATCAATGATAATATTTTTATCGAACAATTTTTGTAGGTTGCTATTAAAAATATTAATATTTTTTATTAAATCTAACAATAAAATTGTGTAGTTTTAATTTTATTATATATAAAAAAAAATGAAAATAATCATAATTTATATTTTACCTTATTTGTAATTGTAACTATATTCAAAGCTATTTTTCGGGAAATATTCAACTCAATATTTATGTTCAATATTCTACATTCACATCAATATATGTAGATTTTTCATACGTATCTCAGTATATATATATGATATATATATATATATATAATTATATCTCATATCTTTTATATATATATATATATATATATATATATATAATATAATATTTGTGTATAATTATAATTTTTTAAGAGCTTTTAAACTTTATATTTATGCTCTAAACTTTCCAGTTTTTAAAAAAACATCTGATTCGATCGCGAATATGCCAAATGTACAACTATTAATACTAATTTTGCAGATTGTTTCTATTACTGTGACTGAATTTACTTACTTTTACTTAGACATTCATCACAGTTACTGTATTACTATCTTAAAATAAAAAATAAAAAAGATAAATAATTCAATAGAACGTGGTCAAGAAAAATAAAAAAAGAAAAACTCTTTTAAAAAATAAAACTACCAAAAATTAAGTGACAATTATATATTATCGATTACTTATTAACATATCTCTGTATTAGTCAATTTATTGTTTACGTGATTCTATTACTAACATAACTTTGTAATATAAAATAAATAAAAATAAGATATTGTTTATATAAATTTATTGTAATACAAAGTTTGATGATATAAATATTATTTTTTATTTTATAAATTAATCTTATTATTTTAACTACTGTAATTAATAAAATTATGAAATCCATAATATTTTAATATTAATTTAGCAATTGAATTTATGATATATATCCTTACTAACTCAATATTTATTATAATGTTTTCATTATTTACTTGAGTACTGTATCGAATACATATAATAATATACTAATATACTAATAAATTAAAATCATCTATAATGTACATTACAATGTACATTTAAAATAACTACTAGTGGGATTTAATCGAAAAATGTAAATTAGTTTACTAATAGTAAAAGTTAGTTTTATTACATTTAATACAAAATAATAGAATTCACAAATATACTTAAAACTACTAATAATTTTGAGTTAATTTTAATTTTTCAAAGGGAATAAATACTAGTGATATTTTAAAATGCTAAAACAATTAGGAATTCAATTTGTACTGCTTATAGTTGAAAATGGAAACTTATACTTTTACTGTATTTTTTACAAATGTAAATGTGTATGTGTGTGTAAATACATAAAGAGAATCAAAAGAAACGACAATTTTTATTTAGATGTTGGAACAAAGAAGAATATCCAAACATTTAGATGTAATTTCGAACAAAAGAAAAATTTCAGATACATCGGCAGTTAAAGAAGAAAATTCTAATAAGAAGCAGCGTACAACTACAGTAATTGGAATAATAATAATATTATTCAAAGAATATGGAAATATATTGAAAAATAAAATGTATAATACGTATATTTTTGTACAAAATAATTATAAATTGAAATATATCTATTAATTAGATTCTTCACTCTGATATAGCTGGAAGAGGCGTACAAAAGAGCGCCAAGGAGAAAAATATACATATCTTTGAATATGTTTCGACATAAGGGTTGATCCTGTGGAATAACTCACCGAGAGAAAAACTCACTAGTAATAAAAAGGAATAATGGAAAAATATGAAGATGTGCTTGCTTGAAGAAATGTAGTGATTTACGGTGTAAGCGAAAATAAGATACGTGAAAATTAAAATTCAAAGAGAAAGTCAAGGATCAATTATAGCTCTCAACCTTTAAGAAAATAATTTAATTATCAAAATTTAAAGTAAATTAATTAAAATTTATTATTATAATTTCTAATTGTTGCTCTAAATTTTACTTTAAAATACCTCTCTCGTTAAAATAAGAAGTACAGAATAGGTAATTTAGCTGTCACTATCTCCTTCTCTGCAGTTACATCTTTATCGAAATTTTGAAATAAAGCATGTTCCTAACTAATCTTCGCTCATATTATATCAGAAAGTGATTATATAATGTACATCAAAACCGAACGTTCGGTTAAAGCATGAGTACATCACGTAAAAAACACAAGTACAGGCAACAAAAATCAGCAACTAGGAAGGGAGTCTTGCCAACTATAGATCTCAGCCCTCGGTCACGTCCGAGCTGCGCGCGCTTCTCTATTTGCCCTCTCGACCCCGCGGCGTCGATCTGTTCCACACTCTTGGATTTCTCGGCGGTTCTGGCGCAGGCTCTCACTACTGCGGATTTGACACATATAGACACATACAGGAACATTTGGGGAGTTAACGCGCGCCAGTCCGAGACTCGTCGTCGCAGTCATTGCATCTTACCTGTGACGACGAACGCGTGCAACATTGCTTACAAACATTACGAATCGCATACGTGAAACGCAGGACGTATTGAGAG